ATCGTTAATAGCAAAGTCTACCTTTTAAATTCTTCGTAGATAGTTATACTAAATAACTAAATTACTTCTTAATGAACATATCTTCATAATCTAATCCAACTATACATTTAAATGCATTATAACAACAAAATTCCGTAAATAAGACCACTGCGGCATCTTTATAACATATATTTTAAGTCAAGTCAACTAAATTTATATCGATATCTCAAAAACTACGTATGGAAAACCTATAGTATAGTGGATGTACAAAGTAGATGATTTTACTAAACTCTGTCATTAAGGTAACGTGCCTATGAAATCAGGATTATATTGAATCAAAAAACAAAGATTAGATTAGTCTTATTACTATGATATATTGATGAGCAAAATTTTTTTTAATTTAAAACTAAATCACATTTTATTAAAATACAATAATCTCCTTCACATGAAAACATTATTGTGAATAAAAATATATATTTAATTTTATATTGTCTTTCCATTAAATGTGTTATGCTCCAACACAGTTGTAAGTGGTGTGCCTTCTTGGCATTGCCATTCCTAACATAATAAAAAACCAAAATAAATAATTTTTTATAATTTGGCATGAAAACTCAACTAACTCGCAGCCAAAAATCTATTTTGCAATTTTGCATACCTTGAACCAAAACCCAGCCAGATTCGAAATCAAAATCAAAATCAAATCCAAAAAAAATCGAGACCAAAAATAAAAAAAAGAATTGTAATGTGGATGAAACGAAAATGGCAACAAATCGATTTTTGATCTGTTTCCAAAACGTGCTTATACGCTCCTCTGTGTAAGTCCCACAAAAAATACACAAACTTAATTCTGCAGATACGCAAACACTTGCTTGCGTCTATGCGTTTGAGCGTTTGAGCGTTTATGCGTTTGAGCGTTTGTGCGTTTGTGCGTGTGCGTGAATATGCGAAAAGTGCACGTGTAAGGACGTGCTTAAAGTTCTGTTTCCATTTCCTAAGAGTTTCCATCTTGTTTTTGGCAATCTGTGCGTAAGTCTAGTTTTTCTAAATGTTTTTGCTCCTGGATTTTGTTTTTTTTTTTTTTGTTTTTTTTCTTTTTTGGTTGTTGTCTTCGAAATTTCACTTATGTTACGTGCGGTAGGCCAATTATTTGTAGTCACACGAGCATATGAACTACTTTTTTTTGAATTTGTCGACGTACAGCCATCAATTTTAGCTACATTATTACTGTGTTTTTGGCACATAACTTTTTTTTTCATTATTTTTCATTTTTTTTCTTCCCGCAGGCGAGGCAACCCTAGAAATGCGTAGTAGCCGTATCTGCAAAGTGGCACGCAAGGTACACATCTTTAACTGGCAATACATTCCTGTTATGATATATTGATGAAAGCCTGCCTGCGGGATTTTAATGCCACAGAGACTTGTAATATAAAACATTTACGAAAATGTACTCTTAATAGACTTTATTTGGAAAAACTCGAAATGGAGGAAACTGTGCGTCTAAAACAATTTGTTATATATGGAAATAAAAATTTAATATTAAAATTTAATAAATAAAAAAAAACGTATGTATTTATAAGTATGAACTAAGCAAGTTGACTTTAAATTTAATTGATCATTAGATATAAACAAAATGAATTTTAAATAATCTAATAGAACTTAAATTAGGTTCTATACTCATGAAAGAGTAATAAAATTATTCAATAAATAATAATGTATTACAATTTAACAATTAAAAATAAAAATTATAATTGATTAATTCATTTATTCTACAGCTGGTTTACGATTTCGTTCTAATATAAACACAGCAAGTAAATTTGTTAATAAAAACTTTCATAGTAATAGTAACAAAACTCCAGAAAAATATGCGATCAAAAAAGTCAAGTACGAGTTTGGGTCAATTGGTTAATGAATACTGACTCTAAGCTTCAAATTAGACAGGGCATGAGTTCAACTCTTCGTACTTGCAGTCTCAAAAAATTACTTCAATTATTTAAGAATAATTAAATATAAGAAATAATTTTAAAATCACTGATGATGGGTACTTAAAACAGTTGTATGGTCAGTCAAAAATTAAATTAATTAAAAATAATAAAAATAAATTGTTGTTGCTGTGATTTTTTACTGTTCGATACAAACCTCTTTATTGAAAACAATAGTTTATATTAAAAGTCGAAACGTACGTTAAAAATGAATTTAATAATCTGAAAATAACATATATATATATGGTGGGACGTTGGGACAGACCACGAAACGACTTGGGTCCTTTTTCGTCCTTCGATTCTCGGATGTTGTTATTGAGTTAAAGCTGGAGTGGCTTCCGTTCGCATAACTACATCTTTTGTCAATGCAAGCAGCTCATTTAGCTTGAGGTTTCCTGCCAAGTCGTCACCAACCCAATGGTGTCCCAAGACAGTTTTCCTCCTACTTGCCAGTGCTGGACATTGGCACAATATATGCACCGCTGTCACCTTTTCTTCTAGACATAGTCTGCAAGTGTCTTCCTCAGCAAGAGTTATCTTTTTAAGGTGATACTTGAAATTGCCATGTCCAGTAATTAGTGAGGTCAGCCAGCTTAGGGTGCTCCGCGAATAGCTAAGCACCTTTATCGCTTCTCTGGCCCACGGTTTAGGTAACATGAGTTTGGTCTGTCTACAAATGCTCAACTCTCTCCATCTATTAAGATGAAGTGAGATTATCCACTTATAGACATATAGACATAGGCTGCCGCTGCATATAATATAATAAATTAACTATTTTAAATAGTAAAGTTGCTCTAAAATAGATCTCTACAGTTAAAAAGTTTCTACATTTTTGTACTAAATGTGACAGGTTGAATTTAAAATCCAACATTTTAAGTTATTTACATCTTATTTACAATAATTATTTATATTGATTATTTTCTTCACAAATAAAATCAGATAATTCTTTAAATAATTTAATCTTTCAAATATTCAATTTAATAAATATAAAATTTTGTGTATTAAAATTACAGAGAAAATTAAAATCAATAATTTTTTTTCATTAAAATTTTTAATAAAATTTTAAGAAATTATTTTTATTAAATTTTTTGAAAATTTTGTTGATAAAGAAAAAAATTTAATAAAATTTCAATAGATTTCACACAATAAAATATAAAGATAATTTACTTTCAATCTTTATTTAACTAAAATTAAATTAGTATTTTTAGTATTTTATATATTTAAGAGATCTTTAAATGTGTCTATATCGATTTTCGAAATGCCACAAACAAATATTCCTAAATTACACACTATTTTTTGGATGTCCAATTAAGTCAAAATATATGTGAATCAAAAGCCATTCATAGAAATTATTGACCTGCATAAACGTTTTGGCCACTTGATGCCCAAACAGCTGGGCAAACAATTTTCACCAGTGACAGAAATAAAAATCAGGAACAAACAGAAGCAAAACCTTCATGTGAAAGGCAACTAATAAGCGGTCGGGACATATCAAATTCATTTAGTTTTATTAAACAAATCGAGATGAAGGCGAGGTGGCCTTACTGCTCAAATAGACTAAAATAAATAAATTGTCCATTTAGTGGTAAATGACTAAATGTTATATAAATTATTTGAATACAAGTATTTTGGCCAATATTTATACGGCAGTATAATGTGTGTTAATGGACCAATTACACAGATTGTGCATATGTGAGTATAATCTGAAAAAGAGCAGAATTGATTGGAAATCTGTTTGATATGTTTTATCCTGTAAACATGAGAAAAAATATTATGAATACACAGAGTAAATAAATATATTATAATATGCATAAAAAAGCAAAATATTAAGTTAAATAGCGTAATAAAAAATATTATAATACAGCTGAATAAGACCCTATGTTGGCGGCCCTATGCTCCACTTATAGTAGTATTAATTAGTATAAGATAGTATTAAAAAAACTATGTAGAGGATTTTCCATTAACTGATTCTATAAGTAAGCGTAAATAAAACTGATTTATGGGTATGACATTAACTAACTATTTATATCAATATTTTGTACCTTCTCATTAAAAATTGAATACAAAGTCATTTAAGCACAGCACTACATTCTTTAGAGATAATTTTCTATGACTTGAGGAAACATAGTTGGGAATAGCTCGGCCATGACTTGGCACATATTTATTTTCAAAGCTTCGCAAGTTTGAGGATTATCAGTATAAAGCCTTTACATAACTCTAACTCTAAATCTACAACCTTTTGCGTTACTCTACTAATCAACAGTCCAAAGGTGATAAATCGCATGATCTTGATGACCAATTTACAAAGAAAGGTCTTGAAAAAATTTTATGCAACACATCTAAAACGGTTTGTGTTATGTACCTTATGATACCATTATATTCGAAACATATCTGCCACATTCATATCTTCATTTTCACTACAAAAATATTTTTGATTATATCGTTACAACGATCAGAACCCCACACCATAGCAAGGACTTACAAGTTCCTAAAGTACGGCATACCTCTTTATTAGTATTATTTATTATTAAAATTGTAGACCTGAAATCCCTCATCAGTCGATACTGCGTTCAGAAGAGTCCTACTATGCCACATGCCTCTCATAAGTGACTTAAAATCAATAGACACAACCAGGTAATGTTTGCTGTATAAATAG